CGGACACGACGACACCAACATTCAGCTCATTATGCAGGGTATCTGTGCTCACAAACACTGCATTTTAATTAAAATATTATCTCAACTCCTACTCCAAACACTGAACTTGTTTTTGAGATTTATTTTCCAGAGTTATTTTTAGTGACATTTTAATCATTTCAGTCATTAGTCGATAATATAATTCTATGTTTATATAGGATTTTCATTTAAATGAGTAATTACTTTGAATATTATAACAACTTTACTTGATAAACGCAAATTAATGACTAACTTGTTTTGAATAATTTAATGTCCAGAACCTCCCGACGCCCCCTCGGAACTGAAAATACTAGAACACGACGGAAGATCTGCCCGAACATCATGGTCTTCCCCATACAGTGGCAACAGTCCTATTATCCATTACATGGTTCAGTATAAACTGGACACCGGTAGGCATTTTTCATTTTTCTCATTTATTGAATTCCACTTTTCGCTGCCATTTCGATCACATTCTCTCATTAAATATAACAAATATATATTTTTATAGTTTTAAAAATTGTTATCAAAAATAGCCTTAAATTCCAGGCGAATAGCCGAGAGAATAGAGTGCATGAAAAATGGGCGCAAAAACTAATATTATTTCTTCATTTGATTTGTTGTACAATCATTAGATAAATGGACGGCTCGTACGCCTAACGTCACGGTATCGGCATCTGAGACATCAGTTCTTGTGGGAGTATGAAAAATGGGCGCAAAAACTAATATTATTTCTTCATTTGATTTGTTGTACAATCATTAGATAAATGGACGGCTCGTACGCCTAACGTCACGGTATCGGCATCTGAGACATCAGTTCTTGTGGGAGGGCTGCGACCCGTCACCACATACCAGATCAGAGTGTTTGCCATTAATGGTCTCGGGAAGAGTGAGTCCAGTCAAGTGATAGTACTTAAGACAATTGAGGAGACGCCGGGCGGTCCGCCATTACATATCAAAGCCGTTCCCTTGAGCTCCAAGTCGATTAAGGTTTGGCAATATTGACCAAGTTGAAATATGATTTAATTTTTATCGATAATCTCTCATCACTTATAATACCGTATATATTGTGCTCATTCTCTCGTTATTTTTAATCCACTATTTCTTTCCCAAACAATTGATTGAAATGTATTTTTTATTATTAAAAAATTATACAATATTTCCATTAGTTTTCAATTCATGTCACAAGAATTCGTTCACTTTATTTTACTTAACATTTCTTTTCTAGAGAAACCTATTTTTAATCCTATAATCACTTTTGATAACTTTATTGAGAGGAAAAATATATTCTTTAAGAAATTCAATGAATTTTAAATTTTGTTTAGAAATCATTGCTTATTCATTGAACCCAAATAAATATTGTATTTTTTATATTGAATGAGCAGTTTTCAGCAAAATATTGATATTTATTATTGAATATAAATTCATAAACAACTTTGGCAAACGTTTGGCCAAAAACAGTATTGATTTAAATATTTGATTGAATAAAACAATGGTTTGTTTCAAACCACAGGTGAGTTGGAAGCCTCCCCGTAAAGACCTGCAGTACGGAGTAATCCTTGGATATTATGTCGGATACAAAGTGTCTGAATCAGCGAATTTGGATCAAATGAACAAAGATTTCGTGTATAAGACACTCGAAGTCAAGAATGAGGCGATTCTGGAGGAATGCACTGTAAATGAATTGACGCGTTCAACGAAATATCAAATTATAGTCCAGGCCTACAATAGCAAAGGCGCCGGACCATCATCTGAACCCACTTTTGTCAAGACTTTAGAAATGGGTAAGACTTTCGTGACTCTCTCTCTCTCTCTCTCTCTCTCTCTCGCTTCCTGACCATCGCTTTCTCTCATATATGATAAATGCCTTCACTTTTCATTTATTCCGAATGCAAGCCTTCTTTCCACTCGATTATACACAACAACTGAATCTAATTTTGACGACAAATTTCTATAGAATTAAAAAAGTTTTTTTTCAATTTTCTCTCAATTGATCGTTCATTCAATTCATTCGTACAAATCATTCAGAATTTATTTTTTAAAGCTCTGTTTTATTAAATTGAATTTGTTTTGGAGTTAGCGTTTGCGACATACAGTACAAAAAAGTCGTGATTTTGTTCACTTGTTTCACATATGGTGTCTCCATTCACTGAGACTTTTGTATTAAACGTGAATTCGTTTCAAAAATTGAGATTTAGATAACTTTATTTATAATATCAGCTAAAATCATACGAAAACAAAAATTTTAATTTCCGTTTTGTTAACTATAAATAAGATTATATTAATTACTCATCGTATGTACTTATAAAACACGGCATAAATTTGACTTATTTGTCAAAAATAAGCGAATATAAAATTATTTTTAAGGATAAAAGAGCGTGAGCGATACGTAATCTAATTCATGAAATGCCTCAAAATTCATGTCAAATGGAGATATATTGAGTGAAACAGCGCTTTTCAATACAACATCCGACGAATGGCACGAAAATTTATTTATACTTTAATTGAATTAGTCGGTCGTCGGGAGAGAGAGAGAGAGAGAGAGAGAGAGAGAGAGAAAATATTTTATTTTCATTAATTAGTTTGATGTATGACTCGCGCAAGATTAGGATTATCTGCCAGTGTCTGCAAAACACGGCTCTAAATATAAATCTAATTTCGCGACACAAATAAGAGAAACTTATTGTCTGAGAGATAGGAGGAAAGGCATAAAAATAAAGTTTTAATTCATGAGATAAGGCTGTAATGCGAGCACACCATACACACCATACGCTGTTTATTGTGTTTTTCGTCGTGAATAATGTGATTGGGATTCAAAATAATTTATATTTAATGTCATTAAACAGATCCGCCGTCCACTCCAACCCTGCGCGTCGTGAGCGGCACATCCAACTCAATACAGCTCTCATGGCTAATGAATTCCGATGACTCCACTCCTGCCACCGGTCAGTGACATACCATTCCCTCGCATTGCTATATCTTAGAGACAAAGTCTGCAGAATTTACTGACACAGAGACTAACAAAACAAAAAAGAGACAATTCTTGTAATAAAAATAAAGCCATCGTTTTCATTATATGTCTTATGTCTTATGGGTTAGGATTTATTCTCCATCACAAGAAGGAATCTGCAGATTGGGATGAATTGAGATTAACTGACACTAAATCTTATGCTCACCAATGGCTCAAATGTGGCACTCGGTATCAGTACTACATAATTGCTTTCAATTCTGTCGGCAAAAGCGATGCCTCCAGTATTGTGTCCGCAAAAACAGACGGCGCCTGTAAGTGAAATACACACACAACTGTCCACTCCGTACCCCTATATTTATTAATAACATACATATTCTTTATTCTTGTATATAATGACAGCATTTTGTCGACTCTTACCTATTTCTGCTTCACTTAAGCATTTTATTCATATACTGTATATTATTATGATATCCAATACTTTATTGTCATTTTTTAAATCCTCTCAAATTGTGGTTATTATTTGAGGATCAGAATAATACCCGGAATATGAATATCATATCTGACCTAAAAATTAAGCGCTGGCTCAGATTTTTATTATGGAAATTAATTTTATGCAATCTTTACTTACAGTTTAATGTATTTAAAAAGTAAAAAGATTTTTATTTAATTTGAGAGAACTATTACTATTATTCTTTAATCTCGTATTTAATAATATTCTGGAGAGTAATACAAATGTATTAAAAATGTGGATCCGTTTCTATAGCTTTTAGATAAACTCCTATTTAAAGTATCTAAACATTAAATTTAAGTCTAAATAGCGCTCTTGAGATCAATATTTCAAATAAATAGTTTTGAGACAAACTTAAATAAATTGTCATTTAATGGCTGACAGTTTAGTTTTTGAATGAGACTATTCGCATATAAAACCGTATAATTATTGTTATTTTTATGACTAATTATATGCGCCGACAATAGCAGTGAATTAAAGTTTCAAAATGAATTTTATGGACAATATTTTAATCCCGGAGTTTGTTTGTCAAATGTTGTACTTTCAGCTGAAAAGTGAAGTGAAATTTATGTTATATTTATTGAATTTCTTTATCAAAAATAACTTTAAGCCCTAAAAACTCATTGAAATGTTGCCTCAAATGACTCGAAACAAAATGTTTTTTCATTAGTTTTTCTGTTGATATGAGAGAAAAAATTCATTGATATTATAGTGAATTGAATTCTTGAGCCCAAATCTAAACACATCTACTCTTTTTTGGTTATCTTTTAAGTGTTGGCCATTATTGCCGTTTTATTACATTTTTCCAAATAAATACTTATTTGATTTTTCAGTTGTTTTATTGCCTTTTTTAGAGCCATACAAACACTGCAAAGAGTACTCTATGCCAGTGCTCTTCAAACACACAACTAATGAAATACTCTTATCAGTCGTTTATTGTCTCCCATTCCTTAGCTCCTGTTGCACCCGATAAGCACTCCCTCCTCAGCGTCAACACAACCACTGCCACCATATTCTTGGATGCCTTCCACGACGGTATCAATCAATCAAAAAACTTTTTTCCTTATAAATCGATTATTGAATTTGAATTTTTTATGTACTCTATATATGCGATGGTATGTATGGACAGGCGGTTGTCCCGTGAATATGTTTGAAGTGATGTACAAACTAGCGAAGAGTCGTAAATGGATATCCCTATCGAACCGGGCGTTTACAGACCAGAAGCAGATTGTTTTAAGTGATTTAATGCCTTCGACTTCATATGATATTAAGATAACGGCATTCAATGAGGCGGGAAGTACTGAAGCCCAGTACTCGTTCACCACTACATCCCTCGCTCTGCAAGGTTTTCATCACACAATTCATGAATTTATTAGAAATCACATCCAAATGACTAATACATGATTTGCATACCTTTCCCATCAGATGATGAGCCGGGAGTACTGTCGAGCAGCAAATCCGCACCGTCTGTGCCCTTCTATGCGGATGTTCTGGTAGTCGTTCCCTCAATAATATCGTTAGTCGTTGTGATAACTTTATTATCACTCGTTTATGTGATATTCACTCGAAAGCCAAGACATGGATCCAATGTTTATTGTAAGTAATGAACGGTCGGCGCAAACAAATCAAAGTCTATAAACTTTTTCATTGCATTTCATTCAATTCGATAATAACATAGAATTTATATCTAATTTGTGTTGTGTTTTGTCAACATTTCAGCCAATTATAGCCCAAACAAAGTGTCACAACAGGACTGCACAGAAACCGTTAATTTAACAGAATTGGATGTGAATGGGAGTCACGTGAAGAAGATGTCGATGCCTTCCGAGGACCAGTGCACCCAAAGTATGGCTCACTTCCCGACGCCGTACGCCATGACCAAAGTGGGCGACACCGAAGAGCGGGTCCCTCTCAACGCTATGTCACGACAGTCTCCCCTCAAATCCGTATACAAACACTTCTAATACTTTTATACCCAATAGTCTTACCCTCAGCATCACTATTACTACTGTTAGAAACCCAACACTACATCCATTAAGAGCTACTTTATTATTATTATTTGTGCCAAACATTTATCTGTCATAAGTATCAGTGGCCTATCACTGATCACTGGTTGGCATCTCTTTATTAAGTGCTATCTCTTGATGTCTCTGTAGTATAACGCAGACCACGAGGCCATATACGCCACCGTTAAGCGCACTCCCCGTCAGCCCCGCTCTGACGTTCATATATATCAATATCCGAGTGAGTAATCAGTCTTTCCAGTTATCATCTCCTGTTCCCTCATTTGTCACACACGAGGACTCATGTCATGTCTGCCACTCATAGCTAACGTACAGCCGGACAGTGGCTGCGAGTCGTCGGAGGCGTCGAATATGGCTCATCACTGGCGGACATCTGTGGTTAGGTTTGATAGCGAACCCCAATCCGTCAAACTGTTTGCCTGTGATCCTCAAAGTGGTCTCATATATGGCAGAAATCAGTCGAGATCTAGTCATCACTACAAGTGATATACCAAAAACCTCTTATACTTATTTTCATGTCATATAACAAACCAAACAAATAAACTCAACGATTATTGAAATGATTTCTAATTTCAATTCAGGATCTCTTCATTTGTAAGGTATTCACAAAAATTAACTTTCAATTCATAGTTATATTAATTAATGTTTTCTATATATGCAGTCATTTCTAGTTATAATATGGACCACAAATGCCTCAAAAAATCGATGGAATTATGAATACTTTTTATTTATAATTTTATTTGTATTGTATTCAAAGAATTTTGTATTCATTTATAAAACGAAATTTAAATGTAATTATTATTATTTGTTACTAATTGTGTTATAATATATATATTGAAAGTTTTGATATTTTTATAATAAATCTATTTAAAAATGATTAACACTTTTATCTAATAATCAATTAAAATACAAAACATAGAGTTAAAAGCAAATGTAATAGAAATTATGTACTGTATTACAGAATATGCTCACAATGTCTATAGTGTGACATCTATTACATAAGAATCTAACGTAACATTTGACATATTCTTGATCACAATTCCTATTCTTTTGGTATACAGAGAATCTCCACTTTGTTTTTTTCCCATTTATTATATTAAAATGTTTATTAAACTGTAATGAAAAGTATAAAATATTGATATCATTGTGTTCAGAGATAAATGATCTACCGATTGATACCAAAAAACACAAGTACTCGATGTAATGGCTAAGATTTTCGGGTCTAAAGTGGACCTATCATTCAAAATAGTTTCTAATGTTTTCTCATAGAAAAGCATTGCGCGAGTGTTGTGTTTGCACACGTTTTCAACACTACGTATACCTCATATGTATTTATGCCATAGAGCTTATATGCTTGGAAACTATTTTCAATGATAAGTTCACTTCAGACCCGAAAATCTTAGCGATTACTTCAAATATTTGTGTTTTTTTGGTATCAATCGATATGTCATATATCCCTGAACACAATCATATCAATATTGTTGTAGTTTTGTGGGGATTCTCTGTATTAGCAAATGAATGCTTACAATATTCATGACAAACGGATCACTTGTTAGCAGTCTTGTAGAAGATGTGGAAGAGTGGGTGATGTATACCATGAGTGACCCTCAGGTGTTGATCGACTAATTGGTAATATTGTTGAAACATTGCTTTCCATTTGAATACCGGTTCACATCCTCTCAATGCCGACAATCGGCTCACAAACGACTGTTGCATAAGAGTTGCCGTCAGAAAGGGGTGATAATCATCATATGTTGACCGATATAAGGGAATCAGTTTTGATCGCAAAGTCTCGCAATAATTTGGATCAACTCTTCGTCTGTCAATGAACTGATAAATCTCCTCTTCAATCAACTCTTCAAATGTCTTGTAATCGACATTTGAGTCGAGATTTTGGTCACATTTCACACAATGACAGCCTTTCACATAGAAATCACTTCTCAATTGTCTTTGTCGGTCGGCTTTATTCTGATCCAAACGCACGTAACTTATTGTCATCTCATCGCCAATTGGGATCTCCTTAAGGGCTCGTAATTGCACTGAAAGTCCTGTAAAATGGGTTTAAATTGTCAAATCAAGACAATTATCACAACAAATGTCTTTAAATACCATTCGTAACGATCGCTGAGTTAGGAATACATGAGTGGCTCAGAGATGACATCTCCAGACATACCGATCGGCAAACTTTATCTGAATAGTACTGATAGTCCTTGAGATCAGTTGAGTACCACTTGAGTGCCACATGTGATGGACTGATCACCAGAAACACAAACCAACGAAGAAGTTCTCTTCGGTTTTCGGGAAGCAATTGAATGCCAAACCTCTTGAAGTGATGACAAATTCGGGTAAACTCTGCCATTCGGTCGACATCGGTGTGAATCGTATCCATTTTGACCACAATATCATTGAGACAGACATCTGATCCGTCAAACAATTGGTGTCTTTTAGTGGCAAACGATTTGTCAGATTTGATGCACAAATAGAGACGAAGCAGAAGAATCTCTTGGGATGTGAACAGATCCCTATCAAAGAGCTTATGTCCAACGACTTTGCACTCATTCTACACCATGAAGGTCAGGTAACAGACCGTTAAAGATAGCGTTATTATGTAAACTACCGTAAAGCGCGTGAAGAAGTCGACTAGGTGAGCAAACTCTGTTAACAGCGTTTTATAACGAAACTTAAGTAAACAAATGATATGAACTAATGGTTTGGTGGCGACGACCACATCGCCCGCAGTCATGGCATGGGATCTATTGGTCACCATCAGTAGTCAAAAGCATTGGGTAGATCCTTACTGTTTTTTCACATGTAATGTACAGTCTGTTAAAACAATGCTCTAATAAAAATATCATAATATGATTTCAAATAAAAACTTTAATAAAATATTTTAAATAGATTTCCATTTGTAATTATATTTTAAGAATAATAGGCAGAAAAACCAAAGGGTAAAAAACTGCCAAATTAGTTAAATTTTAAATAAGATTAGTTGTATCATACCCTGTTTTAACCTGACTGTACATAATGCAGGCGTTTCTATAAGGAGGAGTTATAGATGTTTAGTACTGTTTATGCTATGAATTTTTCCCCCATAAAATGCACTGAAAAGTATTACTGCGTCCCTAATGGTGTGCATTTTGATTGGCTGATTGAGTGTTGGTCACCATATCTGCAGTCAATTCAATGGACTTTCGTTTGACTTTTGATTTTTGTGCCAAACCTTCAAATAAAACATGATTTGCATTGCAGTCAGAGTCAGACATCTATTATGTGTACTTTGCATACATTTCCAGTTTACTGTATTTGAGTATGAAGTATGAAGTATAATATTTTAATTTAATTAATTCAATTGTAATGAATGCCAGTTCATAATCATTTGAATACAATTAGGAAATTATAAATATAATTAATTATCAATTAATCACAAAATGCATACAAATTGTCATCATTTGGAGACATCTTTGATGGCTGTAATGGTTCACAAGTTTTATGAAAATGAGTCCAACTTTTGATTCAAAAGTGAGTCACTATTAGAGACAAAAGCTTTTGTCACAAAAATTATCACAAAAACTGGTCAAAGATCTGAAGATATCTCCCGAAGACTGAGGCCAATGCCGTCGATATCAACGAAACCATTGACTGCTGGAGACGTTGTCTTTAAATGCAAACCATTATTGCATTGCATTATACCCTCATAAGGGAAAGGTTTGTGACAATTGTCTCAAACGAGTTGTTGGCGACAATCACATGAGAGTTGTCTTAGAGCTGAAGAAGTGCGCCAAATGTCGTCAAATGTATTGTTGCGGCAAAGATTGTCAGACAATGGACTGGATGTACCACAAGAACGAGTGCAAAGTCTTTAGACACCAAGACTTTAAGGAATCTAATGATTACCTATTCCTTCGGCTCTATCTGTGCATCAAATCTGATCCAACGTTTGCCACCAAAAGACACCAATTGTTTGACGGATCGGATGTCTGTCTCAATGACATGAAAGTCTCGGATGAGTTCATTGCAAACATATCAACGACCGGTAAATGGATGAAAAAGTTGCACATAATTTGCAAAACCTTTGAAAGCGTTGGCATGACTTCAAAGAACTTCTTCAATGGTTTGCATTCGTGCTGAAGAACTCCTTCGATGTCCTCGACATCCATTCATATGTCGGCCATATTCCTCGACTTCTCACTGATGTCACACTCGTGTCAACCAAACACCGCTTATGTACTAAAAGGTAATGCATTTATAGTATTATTGTTTCAATCAATTGATGGTTAATGTGATGAACAGGCGATTCGGTGGAAGTGCGGGCCATGAGATCGATAGCACCGGGAGATGAGATCACTATGAGTTACGTGAGTCTGGATGAGAATCGTACGGAACGTCTCGCCTTAAACTTCCTTGCCATGAGATAACTGACAGTGACGCCAGCCACACTTGTGGTAAACCTGTCTGTACAGCTAATGCTCGCGACGTTATGTGAGTAGGTTGTTTCGCAATCATTATACACCTCACTCGGCCGCTTTCTGGTAGGCGGTCGACCCCCGAGTAGTTATGACCACCACACCAGACAAGAGTCCATTAAGTCGTTCACAGATTTCATATCAATTTCTCAGCAAAAGTATGGCGAATATCACCCAATGGTGACAATTGCTCTATTTTTATGCCGTAATACTATGATACCACCTGGAACGTAAGTGTCTAGAGTCTACTTTGTACAAGAGGTTTCATAACGTCGGTTACGACACTAGTGGGTGCCTAGTCTAGTGGGGAATAAACGTCTTTGCTACCGTAAAAACAGTCTAATAGTTATTAACTAAAATTTTGTTCAACACTTACTTTATTTCTGTTAACTATCTGCTGAAGTAGTTTTCAATAATATTTATCATTTAATTATAGACATTACAGTATTAATATTTAGTTCATAATTCGTTTTCTTTATTAACATATTAGTTATAACTTATAACCATTTAAAATAATTAACATACCGTAATATATTATACCGAAAATCTGACATAAAAATTGTATTTAATACATGTTTAAAACATTTTGTAAATGTGACAAATAATTCAATTAAATTTTAATATGTTTAATTTTAAAAATTACCGTAAAATTAAGTAAATTTAAATACTGTGAACGGTATATCGTAATTAAAAAACATTTTCGTAATAAAATGTACCGTAATTTGCATTGAATTTAAGAATAAATTGAGTTAACATTGAATATAATTGCAATTGATTTTACTTAACCTGTATTTTAAAGGTATCATTCACAGATCTCAGATGAAACATGTTCTCCAAAGTATTGCAGCCAATGCTGTGATCACCCACGGATCAGATCACCCCTTATTTGCAGAAACGATGGCATTTTTGTCAGATTATCAATAATTGATTGTAATTTTGTTCAACACTTACTTTATTTCTGTGAACTATCTGTTGAAGTAGTTTTCAATAATATTTATCATTTAATTATAGACATTACAGTATTAATATTTAGTTCATAATTCGTTTTCTTTATTAACATATTAGTCATAACTTATAACCATTTAACATAATTAACATACCGTAATATATTATACCGAAAATCTGACATAAAAATTCTATTTAATACATGTTTAAAACATTTTGTAAATATGACAAATAATTCAATTAAATTTTAATATGTTTAATTTTAAAAATTACCGTAAAATTAAGTAAATTTAAATACTGTGAACGGTATATCGTAATTAAAAAACATTTTCGTAATAAAATGTACCGTAATTTGCATTGAATTTAAGAATAAATTGAGTTAACATTGAATATAATTGCAATTGATTTTACTTAACCTGTATTTTAAAGGTAGGTTTTAGTGAAATTAATTGTAATTTAAAAAATATTTAGTGATTATAATTAGTAATTATAGAGAATTTGAATGTAAATTATTTTTGAACTAATTATACGTAAAATTCATTCAAATTGTGATAATTTTAAGACATTTTTGAGGTGAGGTTTGTTTCCAAAGATTTGGCGCTTTTCTGTTAAAACGAGTCAAAAGTGAGACAAAAGTTTTGACACAAAAAGTATCACAAAAACTGGTCAAAGATCTGAAGATATCTCCCGAAGACTGAGACCAATGCTTTCGATATCATCGAAACCACTGACCGCTGGAGACGTTGTCTTCAAATGCAAACCATTACTGCATTGCATTCAACGTATATATAAGGGAAGCGTTTGTGACAATTGTCTCAAACGAGTCAATTGTGGTAATAATCTGCGGCTTAAGAGGTGCTCGAAATGTCTGCAAATGTATTATTGTGACAAAAATTGTCAGACAACGGACTGGAAGTACCACAAGAATGAGTGCAAATTCCTCAAAGATCACCAGCACTTCACCAAATGGAGTGATTATCTCTTCCTTCGGCTCTATCTGTGCATCAAATCTGATCCAACGTTTGCCACTAAAAGACATCAACTGTTTGACGGATCAGATGTCTGTCAGTTACTGTACTTTCATTGCCTACTTACGTAACCTTTGTATAGTTGTTTACTTTTTGACCAGTTTTTCTACAGGTAATAAACGTTTTGTAACTTTTCGCAACCGTAAGTTATGTTGAAGTTTCTTGATCTTCATTGGTTTGCATTCATTCATCAGAACTCCTTTGATATCATCGACTATTGCGGTCTTCCATATGATGTTGTGAGGTACAGGTAGCCTAGGCGGTATAAGGAGCTGAAGAGTGCACACTCTGTGAGCACAGTTGGTTTGTGCCGAATATATGATTTTCCATAACTTTTTGTTAAATTGTTAGTTAACTACCAAAGAAGGATGAACAGGTGATTCAATGGAAGTGCGGGCCATGAGGTCGATAGCACCGGGAGATGAGATGACTATGAGTTACATCTTTCTGGACATGAATCGCGAGGAACGGCTCATGAACTTAAAGGAAAGGTATTTGATTGACTGCGAGTGCGATAAATGTGGCCAACATTTGGACAGAGATGTCGATTTCGAGCGATACTGTCAACTCATGAGACAAAGCACTGGTATTTGGCAGCGCGAGTATATGGCCTGTAGTTCCCATCGGCAGACCACACACTAATGAAGAGCTCGTATCCATTAATCAGCAAATGTATGGCGAATATCACCCAATGGTCACCAATGCTCTACTGATCGCAATGTTTTGTTTCATTCCCTCCCGAATGGCCACCAAATGAGCGATGAAAGCACTTCTCCAAAGAATTGCAGCCAATATTGCGATCATGAATGGATTAGATCATGAGATCTATGCAGAAAACATGCATTTCTTGTTAATGTATCAGTAAATGACAGTATTTTTGTTTAACTCTTACTTTATGTCTTAATTATATCCACATTTCATTCATTCATTGACACAATTTTAGCTATAAATCTATTGAAACTAACTTTTTTCATAAATATTTTAACATTGATTTTAATTGATATAATTTTTTAAAATTCAATTACAGATAATTATTTAGATTTTATAATTTTAAAAGTTGATTATTATTATCCAATGAAATAAACAATACGGTAATATCATAATGGAGATATCTATCAAATATGTTTCATTCTTATAATTATTCTGCATTTAGTATGCAAAACATTTTTAAATGACAAATAATTCAAATTTATTGTATTTATGAAATATTTAAATGAATAAAAATAGCGGTTATTAAACCAATTGAAATACACTGAGCAGTAGAATGAAAAAGAGAGCAAAATTAATAAGATATGAACAGAACTGGCGGTTATTCATTGCAAAGAACTCATAGCAATAGAAACCAATTTGTGGACCAATTGATAGCTTCTCAATGAATGTCAATATCTTGAATTTCTGGTTAAATGAAAGTGTATTACAGATAATTATTTAGATTTTATAATTTTAAAAGTTGATTATTATTATCCAATGAAATAAACAATACGGTAATATCATATCTTAATGTTTATGCCGATATTTATTGCGGTTACAACATCTTGAGAATGAACCTTTAAATGGAGATATCTATCAAATATGTTTCATTATTATAATTATTCTGTATTTAGTATGCAAAACATTTTAAAAATATGACAAATTATTCAAATTTATTGTATTTATGAAATATTTAAATGAATAAAAATAGTGGTTATTAAACCAATTGAAATACAGTGAGCAGTAGAATGAAAAAGAGAGCAAAATTAATGAGATATGAACAGAACTGGCGGTTATTCATTGCAAAGAACTCATAGCAATAGAAACCAATTTGTGGACCAATTGATAGCTTCTCAATGAATGTCAATATCTTGAATTTCTGGTTAAATGAAAGTGTATTCCGAGCGACAAACGAGTGGACCAACGGAAGTGAATTGTGGGCACATTTGTGAAGTGATCCACAGATCAGGTTTGTTAGGGAGGATGTGCTCAACAGGAATACAATGGCCAACGAATACACGGCTCGGAAGTAGTTATTACTGTGTTTGTCGATCACCATAAATAAGACCAAACTTATGGCTGGAGTGAACAGATAGTAAACCATGAATAGTATGTGTTTAAAGAAATGGTTTAATTTAATGACAGTAATTGAGACGAAATGATGGACAGCCAGACAGTGGAGCAGAGCTTGGATTCTGTGAGTTTGTATTGAGATTTTGATTTGTTGTGTGATTTGAATGAATTGGTATTTGCAGTAAAGAGCCGATAGGAATAGAAAGCCGAAGAATGCCATGAAGTGAGTGAATACAGCGGTCACCCATAAGAAGTAAATGGTGTTCCAGAATAGGATGTAATGCATGGAAAACTCCATCTCGTCGTACAAGAAGTAGGCCATCAGTGATGAGATGAAGAATATAATCCAGCAGCAGATAGTCATTGTGTAAAACAATGGTCTCATTATGTGTTTGCCGTAAATGTTTGAGAAAATCCTGTATTTCCTCAATAAGTTGTCCTTTAATTGATAGTTAATTCGATTGAGTTTTATGTTATTCAAGAAAGTGATGACAAATAGTTTGGAGTTAATGTCAAACCAATAGATAATTGACGCCAAATAGATGTTCACATTGAAGGCGAACAGAGATATCATAAATGAGATGAGCTTTTGGTTACCCATCAGAGCATTGGCGTCGCTGAAGAAGGCCTGAACGGACTTGTGTTGAACAGCACCCGAAATGGCATATCTGAGACAATTGAGAGCACTCACCAAAAACACCAACTTTTTCTTTAAAATCCTATTTCGGGGTCTGTTTCCGATGACATAGTCAGCAAAAGTTGGCGAAACGATCACTAAATATTTGGTTAAATACTTTTCAAACTCTACGACACCTTCATTGCGATCCTCGATATTGTGTTTAAAATTATTGATCTTTTCATAAAATCTCATTTTCCGAGACGAATGCCATTCAATTCTGTTGAGCATTTTCTCATTTAAAAACATTATTTTCTTGCAATTATTTTTAATTTAAAAATTAAATTTTAAGATAAAATTTATGCGACAATTACTGGACTCCATACAGACGCTATGAGAATATTCTTACACAAGAATTTGCATTTGTTTTTGCCAACAGATGACAACGAGAATAAAATTCACATAAAATGCAAATTAATTGCATTCATAAATAACTATTTCTACATTTAAAAATTGTTAATTAGTAAATTCTATTGATTTTCTGTTAGAAGTATTATTAATTGTGATTTCAACATTTAATATAAAATTAATGAAAATTATGTCTATTTATACAGAATATAATAAATAATAATAAATAAAAAGCAATATTTATAATAAGATTGATATGTTTGCACTTTAATTTTTGTATAAAATAAGTTTAATAAAAATTAAAACAAATTGTATACATCGTGTTAATAAATTGAGATCTATCTTAAGATTGAGTTGTAATTTAGACATAACATGTAATAATTATTACATATTTTTGCATTTCGAGATAAAATTCATAAAATATGAGAGAAAGTGTTCATATAATGCAAACCAAAAGCCATAAAAATGATAATAATATTGAATAAAATGTAATATTTATTGAAATTATTTGCTTAACGATAAGAAATACAAGCATTTGAATGACAATCAATTTGTTTGTCACGAAACACACGCAAAACAAAACTGTATTTGTCTTAAAAAACACATAAATTAAGAGTTTGTTTGTCAATGAAATGGTTAATAAAAAAGCAGTCATTTGTTGATTAATAGAAAAAGATATGAAACAAGAGATAAGCGGAAGAATAACGGGAACTACTGTTCCATGTCCTCAATGGTCACACCATTAGCCATATCCTCGAACATGGAGTCATAGAAGTGCTCTTCGCGTGCCTCACGAGTCCAGTCGAGGAGTTGGATGGCGTTGAAGATGGCGTTGAGTCGGCCCTCAAACGCAAGATTGCATCGAAACCAATGGTTGGCCGCGTCGGCAGACACCACACCATTACTGTGCAGACTCTTGAGGAGGCCGTCGAAGAGGGCATCCGGAAGATTAAGCTTCACTTTGATGTCACACAAGATCACAATCAGACTCAACTGATACTCGGTGTAGTCGAAGACGAATTGTCTCATCAGTGGTGACCTCTCCTTCAGCTGTCGCTCGTCCACTGCGAACCGATTGGGCGACTCCTCGTTCACGAGACACTCGCTGATGAGTGCGCCGAAGAAGTGAAGGCAGAAGTAGTTATCGTTAATCAGTTCATTCACGTCAGCGCCGAAGTACCGGCTGATCACCGATAAGACGATCTCATTGGACTCCTTGTCCTCAATGGCCTCCTTCATGGCGGTGATCAGGCTCTGGAACTTAGAGTCGTATGATATGATTAGTGACATTGTCTTGGGATCAGATGTGGTGACAGTTTGAGCGATGAATGCTCGACAGTAGACAGAAGTTGTGTGAAAATCTCATTCAATGGTTGCTATGATTTGTATTACAAACTGCTTTACAGTCATTCACTGCATATCACACATGCATTGCATTCACTCAACACTCGCTTATGTTTTACGAAACACTTTGTATTCACTTTACAGTCAATTCATAACAATATTAGTTATGAACAAAACATTTAACCTTTTAATTCAGTCTTAAAGCATTAATATTTTAAATATTTACATTCATCTCAAATAAATAGGATTGAGTGTAGCATTCAAATGATATTTAGATATTTAATGTGAGTTTAGGTTAGGTTTAGTATAGATAGTGACGTTTAGTACAGAATGTGTTTATTATAAGATATGATTCATTTGACTGCAGTCTGTGTCTGAATATTGTATTCAATTAAAAATAATTTCAAAAATAGCTTTATTTACGATTAAAATATGATTTTATTAACTCATTTGCATGGGTATAGTCTGCACTTTTCAAAAGGTTAGTTAAAAAATATAAATAAATAAATAAAACCCGACTGACAGATATGCTCCACAAGTTGCTTGACATTTAAGTTCATGTGTTTTTGAATTACAACTAATTTGGATTTATATTATATATAAATACACATAGATATATATTATATAACAAATAAATTACACAAACTTATAAAAATAATCTAAGAGTAAAGCTTTGTATTTCAATTCTAGTAATATTTTTAATATAAAACTTTAATGATTTTTATAATGAAACTTAATGTACAGAAGTTTTCAAAAAAGTCTCATTTAATAAATGTATTTACTGTCAATTTTATATAATATTTCCCTAGACATAAGAATTTGATAAGTTTTAAATTACAATAATATTAAATTAATAAATGTAAACTTGTAAAAGTTATAAAACTACATTGAAATATTTATATAAAACTAATAAATGTATCTAAATTACAAGTCTCCGTAAGAATTGAAAGTGAATTCTTTTGATACATATTTTACATTAAAATAATAAATGATTTAATTTTTGTTTTATTTCTTACCGTTGCCATTATGATAGTAAGAAATGTCAAATAAATACTATAATTAGTAAATTCAAAAATAATAGACTAGAGTACACTGGTACTGTAATACGATGAACAAATATTGTATAAAATATTGTATAACCATTAATAATATTTTTTACTTATTTGAAGTTCAAGTGTAATTTATAAACACATAATAAATTAAAATAATGAATGTGTGCTTATAATTGGCATACAGACACATTACTGGTAATATTAGCAATCTTATTATCATACATATTATCAATTAATACAATGCGTTTGAATTCCTAGTTTTTCCATCAAATTCAAACACTTTATGATAAGTCCTAATCTAATCAATACAACTGTAAATTATTTCATATACAAAAAGTTGAGACAATTAAAAAAGCAACTTTAAACACAATAAATATTTAAATATTAGACAAACTCAATGATATGATCATAATTTTGGCGACTCGTGGATGGTTTGTGGGTTGTTGTGAGCGATGGACGCATAACTGGGCGGCGGTTCAAACTCATCCTGAATGGTATACAGAGGTTGAGTCCGGTATCCATTGAGTTGTTGCGGATGCGGATAGAAAGTGGTTTGTGGCGGACGTGTCAACTCGTTTGCGAAAGTGGTCTCACACTGAAGATTATGGGAAGAGTTAGCGTTAGTATTATGCAATTCTTCACTCCTTAGCCTTTCGTATCGCTTGAAACTAATCCACGCGAATATAAGTAACGCTAATCCAATGCCCGCTAATACAGAGCCCACACTTAGGATGACAGTGCCGACAGTGACCGCTGTTTGCGAGGGATTATAGTCTAAGTTATTGTAATAACTGGTGGAAGAGGATGAGGCGATTGACCGGAATATGACACCAGATATGGTTAGAAACACTCCGAACAGTAGGAAACAGACCGAGAAATTGCAGGCGACTATAGCCGGCATTAATCGCTGGTCACTGTTGCGAAGGGCCGCCCGACCCAAGTATCTCCTTATATACATCGCACCGATAATATCTGATATGCTTCTGATTCACAGTATTTAGAGCACCGGTAGATTAGTTGTTTTCAACACTTGTTACAGATTTTTTAATAAAACAAACTTCTAGTTACTATTTTAACATTTTGTTGTATGATTTAAAAACTTTCATTTCGTATTTATTGAGTCAATATTTCACTGCCAAGTGATTTAATTTCTAAAACATTTATATTTTTAATAGTAATAAGGTTTTTATTGTTTTTAATCATCCGATGCTTAAAACAACAGCGATAAAGTGTTTTGTATATTATACGAAATTTGTCATACATTGTGTTTATCACTAATTTTTTAACCTAAATTGTTTCTAATCGGTTACTAAAGGAACGGTATTATTTACAACGACTCTCACCTCAACCCATGCTTTTCTCATTAGGCTTACAATGAATTGCAGAATAAATACCATTTATTAGATATTATTTACTGAATTATTAATTTATGCTATAGCATATAAACAATATTAAATTCAGTTAGTTTTAGTGCTCAGTAATTGTGTTATAATTTTTAAATAAATTTCTTTTGTATATAATATGTATCAATGAATTTGTATCATATTATTTGCTTTAATTCCATTTTCAAACATATATTTTAATGTTAATACAGTAACAGTAATAAACGTGATAGAAAGTCTGATCTGAAAACTTGTTACTAAATGGAGATTTAACTTATCAATCAATGCACTTTGGTAAACTATATTATTCGAAATAACTAATTTATAGCATGATCATTTTGAATTATTGATTGAGTATTTACAATAAAAAATAATATTAAAGTTAACTACATGCAAGTAAATTAAATAATTTAGAATCCAACATTTACCTATTGAAATCTTTTATAAGTTAGAAATTGTAATTTGAAATGCAATGCAATGTGAAAGTTATAAAAAAGTTGTAATCAGTCTTATATGATGTAAAAAAATTTGGTGTAAATCGTAAGATATTTATTGCGGACAAAGACGTTGAGATCAAACCATTTGAACTCAGAATTAGAGGCAAACAATGACTTTCCCATCGGTTTTGCAAGGTTTCCTCAAAGCGTTAATTCTGATAAATATTATTTGTTAATTACAAAACAGTTTTCATTCATTTTAGACTCAAAACAAATTTTCAAATTTATGTCATTTCAAATCCAATCAATCAATTTATACGAAGTAATCCCACATGTGTTTTGCTTTTTTGAGACTTTTTCAAATGGCATTTAGTTATTGTATATTAATTATTCTTTTAGTAAATAAAACTTATTTGAAAGCTTAGATCCTAAATTAATTTAAAGTTATTATTTTAAAGTTAAATTAAGTTAAACTTTCGAGTCCAAAGTCTACACAAATATTTTACATTGTTTATTTTACTTTGAATGTTTGAAATGCAATCTTTGAATTACCAAATTGTATGCAAATGAAATGCAAAGTTTTCATTGTATCAATACGTATTAAATTTAGTTGAAATTCAACTAGGTGTGACCAGGAGTTCAGTCAACAATGTTTTATTAGCAATTTGTTTTAGATTTTAATTCACTTATTACTATAATACTTAACATTAACTATGATTAAATCAAATTAAGTGCATCTAATTAGCTTCCCAATGGGTTCACAATTGGTATTCAAATACTTTTTAATAGTTTACAGTTAATACACACTTCATCTCAATTTTATTTACAGATAAATTCAGTCATTAATAGTGAAGACAATAGCATTGTTTTGAGAAACCACTCGAAGACTATTGACATTCGCATGAAGTTAAGACAAGTGGATGCAAATGGTGTGGTCAGTGATGTGCAGTTCACACAAAATACTGATGGAGAAGATAATGTGTTTGTGGCTCTGTTTGATGGCAATGACATCGACTTCCAGATACAGTTCGACAACATGTCAATTGATAAGCGAAGAGTGGCTTTCATTATGACTTATGGCAAACACCATGAGTTCATCGCTAACTACGGGTTCACTACATTGAGAAGTGTGCGGAATAGTAGCCATCACTTGAGATTCTTGAGTCCTAATAAATCGATGGCTAATCTGTTTGTGGATCTCGTGCCAAAAGAAGGGATTCTGTGCTCACAAATTGGGTTTGCCTTCGAGGCTGAGAAGGAAAGACCCAAAATAGATGACAACCAGAAGATGACTATTAAAGTGCAGACATTGAACCAAAAGATCATCGAATTAAAGATCAGTCCGAATGAGATGATCAGTGATGTGAATGAAATGATATATGAAAGCCAAGGCATTCCTCAGGATATGCAAAGACTTCTGATCGACGACAAAGAACTCGAAGAAGACAAAAGTGTCAGTGATTATGGTATTGAAGAGGGGTCGACGATACATATGATTGTGAAAGTAAGAAGTGGTGGACAGAGTAGAAGTGATCGGGAATTCATTGCCGACCAAAACATTCAAATGACGCCCTTTTCTATTGAACTCAGAATTAAAGGCAAACAATGACTTTGCCATCAGTTTTGAAAGGGTTCTCAAAGATTTCATTATTCAACTTTATTTCGTTAATTACAAAATATTTTTCATTTATAACATTATTAGACTCTAAACTCAATTTTTATGTTACTTCAAATTTAATTAAAAATCCAGTATTTAAATTGTGTTTCACTTTTAAAACCTTTTCTATAACATATTTATTGTATTTTAAATATACCTTTTATAGTAAATAAAATTTAATTGAAAAGATTTTATAAATTAACAATTAATAACTTTATAAAAGAGATTATTTACGTAGTATTTATGAGAACGAGGTCCAAAGCTTGATAAATATTTAACAATGTTTATTTTACTGTACAGGATATTTGAAATTAAATCTTTGAGTTACAGAATTGTATGCAATAATGCAAAGTTATGCAAAGTTTTAATTGTGCTAGTACGTATTGAATTCAGTTATCATAAAACTTGGTGTGTGTGGTGTGTTGTGTCAGTCTAATACTGTTATCATTAACACTCGCTTTAAAATTATTTAATTTCAGCTAGTTATTATTTAATGTTAATTATCATTTAATCTAATTAGTGGCACAATGGCCCGCATTGATCAACAATTGGTATTCAAATACTTTTAATATTTTATTTTAATAATATCATAAATATCTCAATTTTTAATTCACAGATCATACCAGTCATTAACAATGAAGACAATACCATTGCTCTGATAAACCCCTCGAAGTCTATTGACATTCGCATGAAGTTAAGACAAGTGGATGCAAATGGTGTGGCGAGTGATGTTCAGTTCGCATACAGTCTTGACGATGAAGATAATGTCTTTACGGCTCTGTTTGATGACAATGATATTGACTTCGAGATCCAGTTTGACAACAGAACCACTGATAAGCGAAGAATGGCTTTCACTATGACTTATGGCAAAGATTATAAATTCATTGCTTACAAAGGGTTGAGTAAACTGAGAGCACTGGGAGATAGTGGCCATCACTTGAGATTCTTGAGTCCCAACAAATCAATGGCTAATGATTTTGTGGATCTCGGGCAACAAGAAAAGATCCGGCGCTCACGGATTAGGTTTGCCTTCGAGGCTGAGAAGGAAAGACTTAAAATAGATGACAACCAGAAGATGACTATTAAAGTGCAGACATTGCACCAAAAGATCATCGAATTAAAGATCAGTCCAAATGACATGATCTCTGATATCAATGACATGATATACGAAAGCGAAGGCATTCATCAGTATATGCAAAGACTTCTGATGGATGACAAAGAACTCGAAGAAGACAAGAGTGTCAGTGATTATGGCATTGAAGAGGGAATGACGATCCATGTGATTGTGAAACCAAGAAGTGGCCAATGGGGAGGTGGTCTGCCAGTCACTGTCCCCCTCGGCCCCAGAGGTGCCTTCGGGTTCGGCCACAAGAGGTGTCAACAGTTAAGCCGAAGTCATAAGGAATTCATTGCCGACGAAAACATTCAATTCAAACCATTTTCTATTGAACTTAGAATTAAATAACAAACAAATATTTCCATCAAATGGTCGCATAAATCCATTTTTCAAATGTTTTCATAAGCTTCACTCAATTTATAAATAAAAATAAAAATAATTTTAAATAAGATCAACAACTAAATTATAATTATGATATTTACTGTATTTTATTGTATTAACATTATATTCTACCAATTTCTATATCTTATTAGTACTAGGCAAGTTACGGTATTCTTGTGCTTGGCGATAATTATTGATTTTATGAAAGTTTATTTCATTTTACCCTAATCATATATTGATTGAATAAAATTTGATTATTAAAAATTATATACCGTAGTATGTTTATTAATTAAAATGTTGACTTTCAAATATATTTTTATGGAAAAAACAATTTTTATTAGAATTAAAGCTAATTGGTATTTATCGGAATGAATAAATCATTTAAATATAATATAATAATTAAATTTAAGTAAAAACAAAGAATTTTAAATTTATTTAAAAATTATAAAGAGATTACTGAATTGTGATACAAATTGCATGTTGTATAAAATTTAAAAATGGTATTACATTATTTTTAATTAAAACTATAAAATTGCTTAATATGTTAATATCAAATGTTTAATAATATTTATAAAATGAGATTATTATTATTATAATATTCATCAGAGTTAATTTTAAAATTAATTATAATTACAGTACATTTTCACCTTGTAATGTGATTGTTATAACATAAATTTATAACATAATTATAACTTATAATGATTGCCATAATTGTAGTCAAAATTAAGTCTACTTTTATTTAAAGCCATTCCTCATGAGATCGGCTAAAGAATCAATGGATGAATGAAATAACAATTTGAGTCTTATTTGTCATAATAGCGTAAAAGAGACTCACAATTGTTGCCATTCATATTGTGGGTATAGGAGCCCGAACTACCGGTGCGTTTGCGTTTGAAACTAAACTCGTTGCTTGTTTTGGATGCGGGAAAGTACGGCACGTACTCTNTAAATAATTATAATCAGTCAAACCGATTATTTACTAGTATAATTTTGTAATTTATAAATGTTTATACTTTATTGAAAATAACCAAATTAAAATTATTTAAGTATAAAATAATTGAAAACAATTATAATAAAAATTTTCTTTATCAATATTTGATTAGTAAACTTTTAATATAATAAACATTATTAAAACTACCGATAATTTAAAAATTGATATATTTAATCTATAATGTTTTGAAAATAGTGTTGATAATACATATTGTCATGGTTATATTTAAAAACATCTTGTATTACTGTATTTGAAAATGTTAAAAAATATTAGAATTTTATTTTGAAATTGGTAAATATTTGTGAAATATGAGACAAAATTCTAGGCTTTTATTTTTACTTCAAACAAATATTCACATAATCAAAGGTTTAATAGTTTTACTAATGTAATAATTAATTGCTATATTTATCGACTGTAATTTCAATAACATTAAACTTTTAACTCTTTGTTCAAATGTCACCAGAAGTACAACATTTACTAAATTCAAGTTAGGCATCAGATATCAAGTACATTCTAATTAAGATTATTTTCCCCTAACACACGACCACATGATTTGACATGAATCTAGATTATCTGGAATTTACCTTGATAAGTAAGCACAATAAGTAAGCTATCAGTACAATAGCCTCATACTTAGCATTTGAGTAAATCTGTGGAAAATCTTGTGAATCAAAAACAAATAATAGATACTGTGAGTAGACTGTAGTGACAAATATGATTGCAATGACTTAATTTCCTTTTAGGATAGAAACGAGTGGTTAATTCAATTCCAGATATTATATCCTAAACCTAATATGTACTGTAAATATCCTGTATCATTTCAAACAACAATAACTATCATTTTTCATAGATTGAGTTGTGTATAAAATTTTATTTTTTATTTATCTGGCATTTGCTGTTCCCAGCATTCAATCATGAATTGCAACAGGGTACTCGTATGGATTTTAAAGATATTCCTATTCTTAGTATGTGCTTCACAACTGATTTTATACACAATGAAAACCATCGATGAATACAAACTACATAAGAGTAATGCGATCGACAAACGAGTGTTTTTGCTAAATAAGACAATTTATTACACACTTTCACTCATTTGTCTCACATCTGGCATATTCAACGGGGTCATATTTCTACAGTCATCGAGTATTGGATTGTTTATGATATGGTATGAGACACATAACAAAGAGCCGGGTCTTCTGTGGTCGGACAATGTGGAGGAGATTGTCTCATATGTATTGCTCATAAGTGTGGTCATAATCAGTCAACTCTTGGCATTTACCATAAAGTCTCGTATAGAGTACGTGCCGTACTTTCCCGCATCCAAAACAAGCAACGAGTTTAGTTTCAAACGCAAACGCACCGGTAGTTCGGGCTCCTATACCCACAATATGAATGGCAACAATTGTGAGTCTCTTTTACGCTATTATGACAAATAAGACTCAAATTGTTATTTCATTCATCCATTGATTCTTTAGCCGATCTCATGAGGAATGGCTTTAAATAAAAGTAGACTTAATTTTGACTACAATTATGGCAATCATTATAAGTTATAATTATGTTATAAATTTATGTTATAACAATCACATTACAAGGTGAAAATGTACTGTAATTATAATTAATTTTAAAATTAACTCTGATGAATATTATAATAATAATAATCTCATTTTATAAATATTATTAAACATTTGATATTAACATATTAAGCAATTTTATAGTTTTAATTAAAAATAATGTAATACCATTTTTAAATTTTATACAACATGCAATTTGTATCACAATTCAGTAATCTCTTTATAATTTTTAAATAAATTTAAAATTCTTTGTTTTTACTTAAATTTAATTATTATATTATATTTAAATGATTTATTCATTCCGATAAATACCAATTAGCTTTAATTCTAATAAAAATTGTTTTTTCCATAAAAATATATTTGAAAGTCAACATTTTAATTAATAAACATACTACGGTATATAATTTTTAATAATCAAATTTTATTCAATCAATATATGATTAGGGTAAAATGAAATAAACTTTCATAAAATCAATAATTATCGCCAAGCACAAGAATACCGTAACTTGCCTAGTACTAATAAGATATAGAAATTGGTAGAATATAATGTTAATACAATAAAATACAGTAAATATCATAATTATAATTTAGTTGTTGATCTTATTTAAAATTATTTTTATTTTTATTTATAAATTGAGTGAAGCTTATGAAAACATTTGAAAAATGGATTTATGCGACCATTTGATGGAAATATTTGTTTGTTATTTAATTCTAAGTTCAATAGAAAATGGTTTGAATTGAATGTTTTCGTCGGCAATGAATTCCTTATGACTTCGGCTTAACTGTTGACACCTCTTGTGGCCGAACCCGAAGGCACCTCTGGGGCCGAGGGGGACAGTGACTGGCAGACCACCTCCCCATTGGCCACTTCTTGGTTTCACAATCACATGGATCGTCATTCCCTCTTCAATGCCATAATCACTGACACTCTTGTCTTCTTCGAGTTCTTTGTCATCCATCAGAAGTCTTTGCATATACTGATGAATGCCTTCGCTTTCGTATATCATGTCATTGATATCAGAGATCATGTCATTTGGACTGATCTTTAATTCGATGATCTTTTGGTGCAATGTCTGCACTTTAATAGTCATCTTCTGGTTGTCATCTATTTTAAGTCTTTCCTTCTCAGCCTCGAAGGCAAACCTAATCCGTGAGCGCCGGATCTTTTCTTGTTGCCCGAGATCCACAAAATCATTAGCCATTGATTTGTTGGGACTCAAGAATCTCAAGTGNTCGTTGTACAGAATGGCATTCCTGTCGTCACTGATTTCCATACCGTTGGGGAACAGTATGTTTTCGGCGACCGACTCCACTCTCTTGGCGTTTACATCGTATTTGACAATACGTCCCAAATCTGTGCCCAAAACACTCAAAATACACTCAAATAGATCAAACTTAACGCTCACATCCGATATGTATAACACATGTCCGCCATTAAGTCCGGCGCCCTCATCGATGGTCAGATCGTCCAAGAACTTAGAGCTCTGGCCCAACACCTGTGTCTCGTCGATGTCCATAACTAACTCCACTTTCGGGTTATTTGTGAATATATTTTTGACAGAAAACACGCCGACACTCGGCTCAACCACATACAGGACTCCCTTGGAGTCAAATTTAAGGCCCAGAGGACGGCCACACTTTGTCGTGTTGTATGGGTTTTCAAAACAACTTTTCTCCACAATCTTGAGGAGTGGTTTCGGAGATGTGCCGTCCAATTGGTATAGATATCCATCGGCGGCACCGGTCACTAGTTTGCCGTCGAAAACGGCCAGCGATTCCGGACCGAAGATCTCGTCGTTGAATAGTTTAGTCGTTTGAGACAAGCGTTCATTGGGTTTGAAGGGGCCCTCAAACGCCTTCGGGAGGTGGTGTAGGAATGCCTTGGGTTTGACATCCAGGAGCACACTTCCCGGCAATAACATCACGACTGTCACGAATGCACACAAATATAAAAGGTACTTTAACAATGTTTTTAACATGTTGGTGATTATGTGGCAATTGTCTGGTGGTGGTTAGTTTGTAATTCTAATACAATTCGTCGAAATACTGGAGTCTATGTTAGAAACTACTGTTTTTAATAAATGAGTGGTTATATAAATCATATAAATCAACAAAATTACAAAATAAGTACTAATAATAAGTGAAAATAAAATTACTTTTGATAAGAAATGAGGCACTGATTGCAGTTAAAGTGAGTATTTATGGCATTAATGAGTGTATTATTAGACGATAACAGTAACTTATAAGTTACATTAACTTATTATAAGTCAAGTGTTTGAATAACTTCGGGATATTGTTTGAGAAATGTAATTTATATTCAATCAAAGAATATCTGTACTCTGTATAAGAATTATGATAGAATTACCAATTATAAATTGGTTTATTTTTGTTCAATGTTACAGATTATGGGATTTATGAGAAATTCAATGAATGTGTTGTACACTATTGAGAGCACACATTGTTAGCAAAACACCAAACTTTCCAGTAATTAATAATCAAATATTAATTTACGTCAAACAAAATGTTTGTGAGATACGAGACTCACATTCACTTCAATTGATTCGCTATTAATTGATAACAACTTTATAGGAAGAGTTGAGTTCAATATTCAACGGTTAAGACAATACAATACTTCTGGAAGAATGAGTTGCATTGAAATGAATTT